AAAAAATCACCTAAAATAATTTCAGAAACTTGTATGAATCAGCCTGTTGTCTAACAAAAACCTGATCTGGGCAAAGCCAGTGCAAAATCTTGAAGGTTCTGCAGTTGAAAGGCTAAACTCAGAAAACTGGATAAGCAAATAGCTTTGTGTTTTTTGCCACCTACATTTTAGAGTCTGCAGCAGTAGGAAAAGTCTAGGTGTTACTTGCAAGCTTATGATATGCTAAAAATGTACTACTGTCAATACTACAAAAGGGCCTGTTTGTTTTGAGCAAGTTATCTCTACTAAGGATTAGGAATTAGTTATTTTGGTAGGGCTTAAAGAAAACTGACTGATGCTCTGGAAAAGAAAGGTAATGTTTAATTTAAAAACAAATATTGATTGCAGTATTAGAGGGATAGTGTACACTTGAAATACGATGCCAGCACTCAAAATCAAAGGAGCATTGTGGTTGGTACATGAGACTTGGACTGAGTCTAGTAAGAGTTAGATTTTGTTTCTGGCTTTTACTGCCAGTAAACTCCTGCTTGTCTCTAAGAATTTACCTGCATCATATTTTCCCTCCTGCCTGAGGTCCATGCTCCCAGAAACAGGGACTGCCTGCGCTTGTTTTATGGTACAGAGCCATTCCCAGGGAAGCCTCAGGTTTGGCAAGGTGGTCTGCTTGCACTGAAGCCTCCTGGAGCATGTTTGTGCAAGTGTGCTGACTCAGTACATCCCTACAGTTTTCCTTTTACAGCTTCCTCGAATTTATTCAGGTTGGTGAGTTTGAGGGGTGATGCAAAGACATTTGGCCTGTCTGAACACCTCTGTGTAAAAGCACCTGGAGGTATTCTGGCAGCTGAAGGATAACTGGGTGAAGTGTACTTCAGAGAGTTATACAGGTGAGTGGTTGTCCAGACAACAATATTCTTCCCGTGTACTCACATTAACTACAGGAATTACAAAGGACATCTGGTTGCTTGATTCCTCTATATTATGTCCTATCTTGCCAATACTACTGACTACCTAAGCTCTTCTAGGAAGAAATAGTACTTGATTCTTGAACAGGGTAGGGAGAGACCCATGTGAAGTTGGGAAGTAACCTGTATGTCATGTTTACGTTTGGGGCCATATATTCTGAACCCGTGACTCTTGGCCTTGCTATGTTTTATATTAACGTATTTAATTTAATCCAGATGGGTCTCTATCTGTTTCTGTGAAATTCACTTGACCCTTCCTTGCTCACCTATATAAATCCCAGTATAGATTTTTCGAGGAATATCATCTGAAATGTTTTATTCATGGTACAAAATCATACATTAGTATCAAGTGTCTGATCCTTTGAATAATGATTACTTGAAAACATGTTTCTTGTCTGATCAAATGCTTAGAAACTCCTTATTGGATAAGGGTTATGGGCCATTTGCCACCAGATAAAAGACATCCTTTAAAATGAAGGAGGATGCTTACCCTAACTTTTTCAAATTTATCTTAAATATTCTCTGATATCTCAGTAACTGCATTAGGGTCACCTGCTGTGCTTAACAGCATTAATCTGTATTGTTCCAATATCCTTCATGGAATAAACCCAAGATTTATCAGTAGTCTTAATTAGCAAGCAGTAACAAACTGACTCAGGGGCACAGTAGTTCTCCACATTTGCTTGTATGCCTCTGTAATTTTCTGAAAATGCTTACTAGGATGAGATATATGAAAGGGGATTTCAAAGAATGTGCTTAGCAAAGGGTCTGAAGGAGAAGCCGGGTTTTCAGTTGAGTTGAGCCCTCCTTGTGCAATGGACATAAACCTCCTGTGAGGTCTTGCTGCCATGGCCTCTCTTGCAGGCAGAGGCTGTTTGGAATTCAGTTTCTTTGCCTTCACCCCAAGTGCAGATGGTTGTGTATAGTATCAGCTGCTTCATTTTGCAGGGAAGGATTAATCAGATGCAAATGTCACTGAGATTGGTATCACTGGTATTTAACAATACTGAGATATTAGGGAGAAAAATAATGCACTTTTATCACGGGTTGCTCTTTAACTAGAAAATTCCAAGCATTTTAAAAAAAGTTGGTGATCATTACTAGCTTCCTTTTCAGAGCACCAAAAGAAAGAGAGATGCTTACTTCTATTCTGATAACATCATCACAAGTTAAAGATCCTGAAAAGAACAGAAATTCCCAAATGAACAAACTGTGCCACATTGCCAGTAAGTCTTCCTTCCAAGGACCCTGTGGCAATGAGCAAGCTCTTGGGACACTGAGTAATGGGAGAGAGGAAGGAAATTGTGGGGCCACAGTGCTGTGGAGTTTGGGCAGGATAATAGTCCTTGGGGCACCGCAGGGAGAGAACTACAAGATGGGACAAGTCTGCTTTGTGTTTTTGAAGATATTCAAGATGTTCAAGGTAGCTTCAAAGCCATGACAACAGCCATGGAAATAAACAGATACATTTTTTTTCACCTAGCTTCTTGGATGGATTTTGAGACCTTTACTGCCAGGGCCCCTTTTACCTTCAGTACCTTATACTATGAAACTAGATGGTAGCTCATTTGGTTGAATATATACTGCATTTGCAGTGTTGAGACACCCTTTCAGAGACCTGTGCTGCTCTTTGAGTAATCCTCACAGGGTACCTCCAGCCCTGAGAGCAACCACACCCGGCTCTTGGGGTAAAACACCATATTCTCTGCTACCCTTACCCTAGAGGTTTGGGGTCTGTACCGAGGGGCCTGGAGGGTGGTCAAAAGGTCTCATCTAAAGTGATGCAGACCCTTGTGGCACAGTTGGATGCAGACCCCAGGCCACTTGACATCCGCAGCTGTGCTTTCCTCAGAGCTGTGCCTGGAGAAGACAGCAGCCACATTCTGTTTGCATAGTACTATTTAAAAATACTACTGAAAGAAAAGTGAGCCACTCAGGCTATGAAAAATATACCCCTAAAAATCATATTTGGCTGTTTAACTTCCCACTGTTGATGAAACTCTTTTTCTTTCTCATGCTCCCCTCACAGACCCACTTTCTGGTGACTTCTGCTCTCTAAGTTATGTTTTTTCAAGAAATGGTTTCATATTAGATAGTACAATATTATGCTTCTTCTATGGAATGTGAGCTTATTTATTTGATGCATAATAACTAATCCATAACTTCCAGCACTAATAACTAACCCAGCACTTCCAGGGTAGAATATCTGGTCTCCAGTGGTTCAGATCTACAAATGCACACAAAGGCACTCTTTCACACACAAGCACACAAAACCTCCCATGCACTCGTTTACTGGTTCACTCTGAAAGACAGTGTGTCCGATGGTTTTGGTTTCATAGTTTTCATCTTCTGGTGTTGGTAGGAAATGCAAGGTGAAAGAAGTGTGGACGTGAGCACAGCATTTGGCATCTTCCCCAGCTCCCAGTTTGTGAGCTCCAGAGTCTACTGTTAAACCTTGCTAAAATTACAAAAAAGGGAACTAGCTCTCCCACCTTAGAACCAGCACAGGATTTGTCAGACAAGCTTTAGTATCTGTGCAAAAATACCTTGCGGAAGTACTTGGATACTGACAGCTCGTTTCTAGTCAGCGTCCCACAACAAAGAATTATTACGTCTTATGATTATTTTTTATTTACATACACATCAACCTGACAAAATGAGGTTTATGCTTTCTCCACTTTTTAGTTTCCAGCTGACTATCATTTTCTTTTAAGATTAAATAAGTAATTTATTGAACTGTAGCATCAAGTATTTATTAGGAAATTGCTGGGTAATTTTAACTGTATCTTTTTTTAAAACATAAATCTGCATCCAAGGCCTCCAGTAACTTTGTGCGACTCTGCACCATTAATTTCTTCCAGAGTGACATTCTGATATGAGCTGAACAGATGGAATTGCAGGATTGTTCTAGCAAATTTATCATAAAAAATGCATCCGACACCTGTGTAATTTGCCTAATCATTTTCCTAATAAGCTCCCACCATTAATTATGCACGATTTCCACAATGCAATCAAGATAAAAGTAAATCTGATGACTTAATACCCTTCAAAATAATTGGTTCACCCAACACAAGGCCTCCTTTGCTTTCCATAGCCATTCCAGTTAATTAGAAAAAGGGTGCACCCTGTAGGAATCAGCAGAATGGAGGCTGAGCTCATGGTGGGAGGCAGGCCTGCTGGTTTTTTGGGCAGGAGTCAAGGATATTAACTCATAAAAGAGAGGAAGGGGCCCCCGCCTGGCCCCCCCACCTCTCACTGCTGCCTCTCACCCCCCCTGCCCACCCCACCCAGCAGCAAACAGATGCGATTAGTGTTCTTCAGCCATCAGAAAACTGACTGCAGGACTCCGAGGGTCTAATGAGAATCAACTTTTCGGCGGCTGCTGTCTTGTGGTGCAGCCCACCTGTCACATCATTAGGTGCAGCATGTGCCTGGAATTCACTTTGCTAAATGAGATTTACAGGCCCCAGTGAAACCCATCCTGCAGCATTCCTGCTTCAATTAGCTAAAGATTAATTGTCTGAGAAAGGGAATGAAAGTTTTACTTCGACTGACCTGAAAATGATGGGGGGGGGAGGAGGAGAGAGGAGGGAGGGAGAGCTGGGAAGGGGGGCAGAAAGTATGGCTCAGGTATTCCACATAGGCCTCAGGCAGTGTGGAAAAACGTGATAATTTAAAGGTGCTGCAAATTTCCTACACCTCGTCTGGATGAGTGAAATTAACTAGCACTAAAAGCTGTCAAATTAAAGGTTGACTTCCAGATATTAGCACCTTAAATGTCACTGAATATTCCCCGTCTCTCCCTTCCCCGTCTTCCCTCCTTTCTCTCCCTCAGCCTCTCTCCCCCCTGCCCCCACATCCCTCCCCCTGCATTTTTTTTTTTTTTTTTTTTGGCAAACGGGCGCCTCGGCACACCTGCACATGCACACAAACATTATCCTACTGCTGTTCCTGCTAACTGCTTGTGCGTGCTCAGGCCGGAGTCGCTCGGTATAAATCTCCCCTGTAACCATGGCTACGGAACAACTGGCAATTACAAAATTTCCTCCATTTTTAATGTTACACTAATTATGTTTGAATGTGTTTTAATGGAGAAAGGAATTGAGGAGATGAAACAGTGTTCTGCACACGAAGAGCGGGGGTGGTGGGGGGAGAGCCTGTGTTGTCTCCCATCTTCGACAGCTTGAAAGCCAAGCCCAGGAAAGGTGCACAGTGCCTTGAAGTGAGCTGGTGTGCCTGCAAGTATAGGATATGCACACCCAGTGCCTGAAATACATGGATTAAAGTTTGGAATGTGGATGATAACACCAAAACAAGCCCACAAACCGGCTCATAAATTGTGAAAATTGCAGCTTACTTCGAACTTCACTGCAAGATTAAAAGATGGTTGCTTGTGCTGCAGTGGCATTGCTTTGGATGTCCTGCTAGCCAAAGGTGAGGCTTCAAATCTTAAGCCGATTTTGAAGAATCATACAACCGTAGACTGCCTTGGGTTGGAAAGGACTGCTGTGGACAGGGACACCTTCCACTAGGCCAGCTTGCTTGTTTTGTTACCATCCTGCTCTCAGCCTCTAGGTCTGACACGTGAGCTTGTGTTCCATCCATTGTGTGTCGTCCAAAAGCATACGTCCCACCAACAAATTTGAATGGAGCCAGTAAGTCCTTGCAAATGGGTGACTCCTGACCCAGCTGAGTATGGGAGGCACACTCCCAGTGCTTCTTTTTGATTTTAATGGCATGCTGGAGGGACACGTCCTGGCACCCTGACTATTCTGGGGCTGGGCATCAGCCTCAGAGCTTTTCATCAGCAGAGCTGAAGGCATGCCCTGCCAGGGAATGGTTACAGCTGGGTCTTGTGCTGGTGTTGGTGGAATGTCTTCAAGCAGGGCAACAAGAGGAAAAATAGAATTTAGTGAAAGAGTAACATACTACTTCTGGCATCTTGAGCTGAGGACACGGAGGTGCCGTGCAACAGGTGCAAGTATTTGAGCAGTGGGGTTTTTTTATAGGACTCTGATTTGGTTCTATTTTACTGGGGGCAGTCAAGAAAAAACCCCAGCAAACAATATTTTGCATCATACCGCTCCATCTTCTTTCTTAACCGGGTAATTTAACATGCATGCACACCCACTGCTGAAGGTGGGGTGGGGATACTGTTACAAATTTCCTCGCAGCAGTGAGCTCTGGATCCCAGCTGTGTCTTCAGCGGCATGAGCCAGCTTGATTATGCTAAAGCACCCCTGGATCCCTTCCTCTTTTGTTTCAGTCTACACAGGGTTTTAAAGCTTAAACATTTGACATGCTTGGGTAGTTTCTTCTCTAATTTTATCCCAGCTGACTGTGCAATGAGTTTAACTTAGAGCCCTTAGGTGCAAGCCACTTTCCACAATGTATATTAAACCTTATAAAACTAGCCTGTATGTCATTACCCAGAATATAATTACCTATATTGGAATTTGGCCAGGATACTGGGGCTAATATTGTTAGCCTTGCAAAAATTGGCGTGGGACTTTTTAATGACCACATGTGGTCAGTGCCATATGTTTCCAGCTCATCTAAAGGATGGTACCTCTCATACAGCCATGCCCCCTTGAAATCACTTCAGGGTAGGAAAGCAAAAGCTCAGAGGCCAGACAGGACAGACAGTTGCTAGTTCAGAGACTGATGACATCTTTGATGTGGAGCAGATAGAGCTCTGTGGTAAACCCTAGTGTTGCATGGCCAGGAGCTCTTACTGACCCAAATTTCCATATTCACTCCCTCTCTTTTGCCAGACTTCACAACCTTGTCTGATAAGAAGACTTGCTGCCTTTTCTGGAGATGAGGTATTTTACGTAAAGCTAAATTTTTTTTATCACTCATCACACAAGTGATTTATATAGTTGGTATAGTATTTAAATGTTTACTCTGTATGCCGCTATGAAGTTTGGGATAGACTCTCTCTCAGGCAAAACAGGTGTAGTTTACCACTGCTCTCTGGTCAGTTTGATGAGACTCATCTCCTCTCTGGTCAGTTTGATGAGACTCATCTCCATCTCATTCTTCAAAATGTTAATAAAAACATGAAAAAGCACTGGGTTTTGAGCACTTCTGGTATAATGTCATTAGAAGGTTCAAAATGAAGCTTGCACTGCTCTCTGTTTCCTCCTTATAGTGACAAAATTGAGTATTCAGTGTTCTTGTCCTTCTCAGTTTCTTTTTTTAACTCTTGGTCTGCTCAGAGAGACCAAGTCACCTGTTCTCTTGTGCTGCTTGTGTGCATGGGGTTCTCTCCTCACTTTTTGTCTTCCTTCTTTCCTTTGAACTGCTAACCCATATTCTCTTTAAATTGTACAATGAAACCCTCCATTTACTTTAGCCTGCAATAAAATAGATTTTCATTATAAAACATTTGATGGTACTGCACTACTTCTGGCCTGTGTGGCTTGTTAAGGCACTAGTGGTGGTAGAAATGTGATGACCTACCACCTCTGTTTTAAACCTAATTCTCTCTTGATTGTCAAAAGTTGTGAAAAAGAAATCAAATCTATTATTGGACAAGGTTATCATTAAGGAGGTTGGCAAGCCTTCATCTTTACAGCCTTCAACTTTACAACTATCCTTTGCTTGAGAGGTCATCGTTTGACTTTAACGACCTGTCTTGCCACAGTTAGTGTTTAATCTTCCCTTTTTTGATTAAACTAATAGACGTGGTTTTGCCAAGTCATCTCCAAGGCTCTGTTTACTTCATGTCCTGGACTTTCGACTTTGTTATGGCTTTTATACTTGAATATAATACAAGGCTGGTATTTGTGACTTTGGTTGTTGATCTCTTCCTAATAATGGTCAACTCGTATAATTGTAGCTCCATTTAGACGCGGTGAAAATGTGGCAGAGGAGCATAAAAGAAGAAATAGATCAACAGTCTTTATTGTCATAGGGGTAAAGAAGCTCATAATTTCAGCATCTAGCTAGACCTGCCACTGTGTTTGGGTAATTAATTGTTAGCTGTGACAAGGCAACCCTTTGCCAGATATGCTTGTTGAGAAGGTACAAACTCCTGTTGCTTCCTGATTACAGCACAGTGACACGTTGTCTAGAGGCACCCCAGACCTGGTGTGGTTTTTTTGAAGCAGGAATAAGCTCAAACTTCAGACCTCTTGGCAGGTGGAGAGGCACAGACTGGCTGTAAGCAAGTTCCTCCCCCGGTGTCAGGAGCGTGTCTGGGCAGGGTTTTCATGCTGTCAGAGGGTGCTTGGCTGGAGAGTGCTCTGGGGCTGGAAGGAACACTGACTACTCTGCAGGTCACTCAGCCACCACCAAAGTGACTTGCTGGTAGCAACTTTATCCACTCTTACTGAGATCTCTGCTTTTCCAGAACTAGCGCAGTTTGAGACTTATTATAACTTGCATCAGTTACCACTAAACTTTTGCATAAAAATTTTTGGAGATGGATGCTTTCCTTTAAAAGACTAAATACTTAAAGAGGAGGGCACTTTTTAGGGTTATATCCTTGTAATATTCCAACCAGGAATATTTCAGTCAGAGTGGCACAGGAGGGCTCTGACAGAGCTGGGTTTTCAGTGCATTTTTCAGCACTTTGAAACTCACTCTTTTGAGAGGGACAGCAAAATGGAGGCAGCAAGGGATGGGAGAGATGAGATATGGTGATTTACTGGAAAAATCTGGATCTTTTGGGGAAGACAGGGCTGCCTGCATTCGATAAAACTGGATGTATATCTAATTAATGGCAGAGTGCCCAGTGCTTTTGGAAAGCACTTATGGACCCAAAAAAATAATTCATTGTACAATGCATCCCTAGCGAAGGACCCAACTGTGATCCATGCCAGGACCACTATCTAGCTTGGTTTCTCCTTGCATTTTATGTTGTGATGTATATTTGCATCCATTCTTGAAGCCAAGATCAATGGGTGAGAAGCCTGTTTTGTATCCAATTATACTTACTCCATCTTAAGCTCATAAAATTTGCCTTTTTGCTATTTGGTGACATTGTTTTGGGGTGTTGTAGGTCTGTTTACTAGGACCTTATGCACACCCATGTCTCTGGTAAAATGAGGTTGTAGAGATGTGCAGGAAATTATATAAAGGCCTGTCTACACCTTCAAAATAAATTTTGAAGTTGATGATCTGAAAAATAAGCTGACTACTTCTACAGCAAGGTGGTGTGACAGACTGGAAAATCTATTAAGCTGTTTTCCTATTTAAAAGAAAAATAAGTGCAGAACCATAAATAAGGAGGTGAAGCATAACTACTTAGCACAGGAATGTGTATTAAGTAGGACTTATTGGGAACATTTTACATTTTGTTCCTAAGAGCATTGCTGACCTGTGTAATCTTAAGTGCAGTAAAATGAAGGCCTTCTGGATGGATCTGGTGATATCAGCTCACAGGCTGTTCTGCAGAACACCTGGACTATTGCAAAGGAAACTGTAATTAATTCTAAAGGTTACTTTTAAGGTATGTTTTCTAGAGGTTTGAGGTCCACAAAGAGGACATCTTGGTATCTGAGGAAAACAGTATTTTATCAGAAGTTTTAAAACACATTTTGGGTTGTTTGGTCATATGATTTTTTGGTTTTGTTTTGTTTTGTTGGTGTTTTGTTTTGTTTGGGGTTTGGGTTTTTTTGTGGTTTTTGTTTGTTTGTTTGTTTGTTTTTTGTTGTGCTTGTTTTTGTTTTGTTTTGATTTTGTGGTGATTCCCCCCCCCAAAAAAAAATTATAGTAGTATTTTCTTAAGGGATTTCTGAGAGCTACTGAGGAAAAATTAACTTCAGTGAACTTCAGTGGTATTGGTATTGTTATAATGTAATCACCACTTTAAGTGTTCTTCCACTCTACCTCTGTCTGGTCCTCTAAGAGTTTTCCTTTCCAGAATTTAGATCCCTTCTGCATATTCCATTAAATCTTACTGGTTTTTGATGATGTTTAAGTGTCTTCTAAGAAAGAGGCAAGGGAGGCAGTGTCTTAAGAATCATGAAATGCTTACTTTAAAAGACAACTTTCCCGTGCTAGTATGAAGCCCCACCATTTGTTTGTTTGTTTGTTTGTTTCTATTCTAAATTAATTATTCAGTAATGTTGGGTTTATTGCTACAGCTATTCTTCACCTTTCAAATAGGTTTGGATCTGAGGCCATTGCCCCCCCTCCACCAAGCTGAAAGAACCAGAGTTCCTGCTGGGACATCCTCTCTCCCAACCGCAATGAACAGCAGGAGACTATTCGCATTTTTTTTTAAAGCTCCCAGTATTTCTGCTGATACTTAAATAGAGATTGCTGACTTTTTGGTATTTCTGAAAATGTCTGTCTTGTCTTAGCATTCTCAGCAAATGGAAGCTCAGCTCTAGCAAAAATTTGGCTCCTGGTATACTTATGGCAACTTCCTCTGTGAATAGTGAGCTCTGTTGTTAATTAATGCAAGCTGTGTTATCATTTCATCTACTGTTGTTCCTTCTATTAGGCAGATTTTCTGCTTATTATAACTATCGTGGTAGTGTTTATAGGCCTTA